ACCGCACCTGACCGCCGACCAGCGCCCACGCCGCCTGCAGCACCAGCAGCCGCACCGCGCACCGCACGCCCATGGCCAGCGCCGCTCCCGCACCGCACCCGGGCGCTTCCCCGACACCCACGTCCCCCGCYGCCARCGCKGCTCCACRCGCAACCGACCGGGCCAGCTCCTCCCCGCCCCATCCGSTCTCCGCAGCCTCCGGCCGCCGATGCGTAGCCGYKTTAGCGRTTCGGGGAGGAGCTGCCTCCTTCCTCCCGCCTCACGGCTCCTTCGCGGCCAACAGCGGCACCGTGTGTYCAGCTMYAGCTAYRGCTCYTGCAAGTCAATTCTCTCGCCGGCTCCAAGCGCTTTCCTAGTTCCAGGCGGGTGACGGCAGGACGCCGTCGTGCCCGCTCAGGAGAGATATCTCCTATTTCCCTCCACAACATTTCCCTTTGACGAACATGGTCTGGAGAGTCTGTGTTTCGTCGTTTCTCTTCTCCTCCACTCTCCTGTCCTCTTCTTTTTGTCCTTTAATATCTTTTCACTGCTTTGCTCTTCTCTCTTCTCCTTTACTTTCCTTTTTCCTTCCCGTTCTCTTTTTTTTTCCGTCATATACAACTCATGTTCCACAAATGCTTTCCAAATATTTTGTGAATATATGCTACAGGCGTTACAGGAAGCAATGGCCATCCCGTTGTGTAATATCTTTCGTGCACATTTGTTCCTATTTCCAATGAGGCTTGTGTTAAGTGTTTAATTGTGAAGCTCTCAGAACACCTGCTTTTTCCAAAAAGCTTTCTCTCTCCATRTGCCTGTTCACTCATGGATACTGCATCAGGGATTCATCATACCTGAGAAGGCTTTCAGCAAAAGAAGCCTGCTGTACTTCTCATTTGTACTTGTCATTTTTCCTTTACAATACCTTCTTAGGAAGACTGAGAAGGTGTTCTCTTTCTTTCATTCCTCCTGGACAGATACTCTCTGCATCCACTTCCTTTATGGAAGAAAAGGAAAGCTCTTGGGCCTCCATACATGGCAAGGTTCCACCATAATACACCGGTGGCAACATTCCACCTTCCTCGGAAGGATGGTCACATAGAAATGATTTCCGGCACATTCATAGTTGTTAGTAACAGGTGGAAATTGCTCTCTCTCTCTCTCTCCTTTTTTTTTTTTTTTTTTTTTCCCCTCCCTTCTCTCTCCTCTTTTTCCTGTCTGGGTTTTCAATAGTGATGTGCAAGAGTTCTGCCTTTGGCTTTCAAAAATGCAAAATCCTAGAGCAGGGAAATGACATTTTAAAAACAACTCTGACCAAAACTGAAGGTTCTGGACTTTGAAGTATGGGCCAACACTAAAATACCAGCAGGACAGAGAGGCGCCAAAGAGACCAAAACTCCTCCAGTGAGTCTTTACTCTGGGTTGCAAAACTGAATAGAGACAAAKGTGCAAATGCTCAAGGCACAGTTAAAAAATGCAGGGGAACCAAAGTTCTTTAATTTTCCTCACATACCTCGTGAGAGAGTTTTCTATTCCTCTTCAATCTGTAGCTTCACACTTATTTTCATGTTCCTCATTATCCAATCGGACATTGTCATATTGTACAAAAAAGTCAGATTTCTTTTTCCAGAACAAGTTACYACAGAATGTCTCAAATACATTAAGATGATCCATGTGTCACAATCAAATCAATGCCACACAGCTTCCACTATTGTGTAGACAAGAAACAGCAAGAACATGTCTCAGTCTCACCACCTGCACRGTCACAAAGTCCCACTTAATGCAAAAAAAGCCACTCAGTATCACTTCAATTGATATCACAGAGGAAGATGAATGGGACACTTTCATAGAAGTACACCATGTGGCTTCAAGCACAGAATCATCAGTCATATCATATAAGGAATATCCAATATTATCATATAGATAAAAAAAAACAGAAACAATTTAGGCACTATATCTGTCTCTCTCAGAGATATCGATGTTTAGTCCTATGGTATGCATTTTGTAGTTTTGCAAGTGGACTTGATTTGTTTCTTTCGAGGGGGAAAAAAAGAGGAAAGGAAAATGTTATTTACATATGAAGGGATTTCAAGGGCCACCTTCCATGACAGCTCTTGATTCCAGTCCCAGGAATTGGACCGGAAAAAGGAAGCAGCTCTTAATTTATTGCCTTATTGTACAACTCGTATATTCACTTCTGCAAGGGGGGAAGCAGGAAGCCTGTAAACAGGAAACACATAAACTAATGGCATTCTGCACGGCTGAACATCAGCTGAAGGTGCTAGAAGCAGCACRGTTATCCACATTGGCAGCAGAAGGATCTAATTTTGAAATCGCTCACTCAAAAACACACAGAAGTACAGTCGTGCTCACAATCCTTGACGCATTTCTGGGAGAAGGCAAGCTAAATCATGCTGACCACAGCGAAAGGGAGACTTYCAGGTGTTGTGTCTCTTGAGGATGTAATGCACAAGAAAATAATCACAAACTACTTTTAAAAAACCTCAGAAAAAAAAAAAAAAAGGGAAAAAAAGGCTTAGAAATGCTATGGAATTGCTATCGGCAGGAACTGATGTGCTTCCGTTAGGGTAATCAATCACCAAAGCCAAGTCCTTTAGCAATACACACCCGAGCTAATACAAACACTGTTTCCCACTCTTTATACCTATGCTGGATCATGATCTTCTGCCTCAGCCTCTGTTCATTACAAAGCACTGTAATATCCTACATGAAAGATGTACATATACCTATGGTGTGTTCCATCTCGACACTAAGCTGTAGTCGACACTAACTCTGTACTATTTCTCAAAGTAATTTATGSCATGTAAGGAAGAGAAAGTAAATAAAGAAATATGCTCAGTGCACTGCAGTATATCAAAAATAAGACTACTGTGGAGAATTACAGGGAGCAAAGATACGCAGAACTAGGAGCCACCCAATCCAACTTCAGAGTTGGCCTTGTTTTCAGCATAGGATTAGATTACGCTATAAAGAACAACTCAACTCCTTCAAACYGAGTTAAACAGTTCTGTTTGTCTAGTTCAATCCCCCATACAAAAAGGAAATGGATAGCACACCTSTCCCCAAAAAACAAACAATAATAATGAAGTAAACTCTATTCAAACAAAATGTCAATCCATTCTAGTCTTCCTATTCTACATGTTGAGTATGCCAGAAGTCTTTACACAGTCAGACACAGAAAACAGGAAAAAAAAAAAAGTGTATTCATAGAGTAAATTGAACGGAAGCACACTGAGAGCAGATCACTAGCTATTAGTTATGCAAGATCAGCAAAGTCTCACAAACCAAAGACTCGAAGAATCAAGAAGAATCCGATGCAAACATCACCATGTACCTGTGCTGTTCTGCTTTGATATGGACTTTCTCTAACCCAGGCTCAGAAAGAGAATCTACAGCACYGTGTATTTTTTCCTACTCTTGTGATCTGAAACAGCCTGTGTTCTACTCATCACCATGGGTCCATGAACGGGATTCTTGACTGATCAAAGGTCACCCTACACAACAGGAAATGCCTACAGAGCAGGCACTCGCCCTTGGTGGCCCTCCTAAAGCAGGATTATTGCCACAGTAGCAAGAAAGACCCTTACCCCAACAAGATGGCACCGCATTAAACACAATTTTGTTGCTAACACAACTCTTTGCGGATCTGCAAAACAGCATACACAAAAARGATCTAGCAGCTTCTCTGCGCTAGATCTTTCACAGCTTGCATCGTTGAAATATATCATGTGAAAATGCTGCATTGCTGCACAGAAGGAGTCTAAAAGTAATGCTTTGACAGCTCTAAACAACACAAGCTTCACCGTTCACTCCACCAAATGGTACACGCACACAAAATAATAAAGAGGAAGAATTCTCATAAACGATGTATACTGAGTAGGCTAGCTGGAAAAAAAAGGAAGAAACGGGATGCTCCAATCAAAAATACAAAAAAGAAAGAGTAAAACACTTGTACAAGAAAAAAAAAAATCCTTGGTTTCTGCTTCCCCATACGTAATTCAAATTTTCCAGAGAAAAAGGCACTGATATCCCCCCAAAAAATGCAAAAGCTGAAAAAAAGCTCTCAGACCAAGAAATTACAAGAAGCTCAGCTCCCACAACATTAGACGCGAAAAGGGAAAGGGGAATTCTAAGGGATTAGTTCTGAGTGTAGCACTAGGGAAGCCTTAAATAAAAAGTATGCAATGAAGCCTCAGTCTCAACAACTTAGGGTACGGTGTCTAACATAAACCAAATATTCCCTCAGAAAAATGACAGCGTTTCAAAGGGAACAGAAGAATAATGACCATTACTGCCAAAAAGCAGACGTTGAAGACGTGAGAAGTACGGGTCACATACAGGCACTAAGTGAAGACCCCAGATCCAAGAGATGTTATCAAAGGGATCAATCAGACACGGAAAAATAGATTGCGGGATACCCAGAGATGAGAAACGCCAGAAAGGAAAGTGCCACTGACCGTGTCCAGGAGAGCGCTGGGATCCTGAGGCGGCGCAGAGCCCGCGGGCAGCGGGAAGTTGGGGCTGAAAACCATGAGGTCGCTCTTGCCCGCGCC